TTGAAGAAAGGTGCACCTCAAAACTACACCAAAAGATGTGGTGTCAGAAAACATTGCTTGGCATGAAATCTATCATCATCACTAATTATAAAATTTAAAGTTCCAAAAATATTGATAATCAAGCAAATCTGTAAATACTTGAAAATCTTAAAAATGGACGGTCTAGATAATGTGTTTGAAGAAAAACTATTTTTAATTCCTAAAATCTTGTTTTTCTATGTCTAGGAATCTCAAGGCCTAGATGATCAATGTGAGGGTTTTCTAGCATCATAACAACCTTCTCCAATGGTTTTATAGGCACACCTTACTTCTATAGTATAAAGTTGACACCCTATATAAACTTTTCTATATATATATACACACACACACGCATGCCACACAAACACGCACATGCACGCATACCACACACAAACATGCACATGCACGCATGCCACACACAAACACGCACATGCACGCATGCCACACACACGCATTCACACATGCATGCCCACACATGCACACTCACACACTCAGTCATTCACTCACTCACTCACTTACACTCACTCACTCACTCACCATGCCCCTTACAAAAACCTCATTCTATATATATAAAGTACACAAAAACATCATTCTATAAAAGTATACGATAGTTTACTTTTTCTACTGAAAGTTAAAATCATCTCTAGCCATCAAATTTAAAATCGAAGGGTGAGGGTGTGGTATTAATCAGGCTTAAATCCTCAAAAGATTGCCATTGCTTTTGTGCAAAGAGATAATGCACGTGTAATTTTACATTTAGTGGCTTAGGGTGTTTCTGACCTCTATGTATAGGGTATTGATCTCATTGAATGATCACATAGAACAATCTGCTTCGTGATATGAATATTGTGAAAGGAAAGTATATATTGTCTATCTGGTTAATATAGAAGGTGTATATTATAATAAGTAAATATGGAAAGGGTAGGATATTGTATCATGTATTTTATGGTAAGTATGGGTATAGTTTTGGTGTCTATGATTTAGTTTCTATTAGTGTCATCTATAATTTGTCTATAAAAGATAAGTTTGTATATTCGTATCAATGAATGGACATTGAGTCTCTTCAGATAAACCTGACACTCTTCACATGATATCAGAGCCAAATTTATAAATTCATCTTAGCTGTGTCCATTCCTCGTACCTGAAGCATTGTTGCCAATTTTCACGACAAGTCTGTTGCTCACCTAGTTGTGCAACTTTTTTCAAGTCATGTTTCAACTCTATGTTGAGTTATGTTTTGACTTTTTGATTTGTCATCTATATTGAGTCGTGATTCGACTATTTGATCTGTCCTCTCTACTAAGTCGTTTTTCGACTCTTTGATCTGTCTCTCTGTCAAGTCGTGTTTCGACTCTCTGATCTGTCTCTACGCCGAGTCGTGTTTCAACTCTCTTATCTGTTTGATCTTTTCAAGAGTTCTTAAAGCCATTTGTTCTCGAGGTTTGTTGATTCGCCGTTGCTTTCTGTGCTTGTTGATCAAGCAATCTGAGTATGCACGTGAAGATCCAACTGTTCTATTTCATAGCATCTTGAGTTTGAAGGGGAGTGTGAAAGGAAAGTATATATTGCACATCTGGCTAATATAATATAGAAGGTGTATATTGTAATCAGTAAATATGGAAAGGGTAAGATATTGTGTCCTGTATTTTATGATAACTATAGGTATAGTTTAGGTGTCTATGATTTAGTTTCTATTAGTGTCATCTGTAATTTGTCTATAAAAGATAAGTCGGTATATTCATATCAATAAATGGACACTAAGGGCATGTTTGATAACAGCCAGTTATCAAACAGGCCATAAGTCTCTTCACAAAAACCAGACACTCTTCACAAATATAACATTATCATTCAGAGAGTCGGCTTTGTGATGCGAACAAATATTAAATTAGAAATATATGCTTGAGATGAGATACAGAGGAAAGAACCCATTTAAATCAAAAGGATTTAAAGGAGAGGTTACGATCTAAGTTATTTAGAGCGTAACCGACAAATTTGGATTTGACGCATGAGAACCTCCAATGATGGCTTGGGAGGTGCTAGAAAATTAGTAAAATCGGGCAGAATTTATATACATTGATGGAGAGTTATTACGAAACTGTAGGAAACTCAATGTGCTTGCACATGATACTTGCTCAAAAAATGAAGTTGCCTTTGGCATACCTTTCCCCCCAATACTTCAAAAGAAGAAACACAAGAAAAAAGCCTCAACACCAAATCTCAATAATATAAACTCAAATCATCTCCAGCAATCAAATTCTGATACAAACATTTATTATCATACAATTCATGCATCACTTTTTGACTCTTAATGAGACTCAAAATATGATTCAAATACTCCATATACATACTAAAAGCAAGTCCTCAAAAAGCCAAGGCGTAACATACATGATTTGGTTTTATTTGTATGATCTTGTAGCTGAGAAATCTCATTAGACACCAAGAGAAAATAAGAAATACAAGAAACACAAGAAAAAAGCCTCAACACCAAATCTCAAAAATTTAAACTCAAATCATCTCCAGCAATCAAATTCTGATACAAACATTTATTATCATACAATTCATGCATCACTTTTTGACTCTTAATGAGATTCAAAATATGATTCAAATACTCCATATACATACTAAAAGCAAGTCCTCAAAAAGCCAAGGCGTAACATACATGATTTGGTTTTATTTGTATAATCTTGTAGCTGAGAAATCTCATTAGACACCCAGAGAAAATAAGAAATACAACAAATAAACAACAAGAGGTGGTGGACTTAAGCATTTGTGTGGAATAGGTTACAGGATCAATAAGTTTTGAAGAAGGAAAGTATCTCATCATTTACTTGCTCTGCCTTCTCTTGCTGTATAAAATGATGCCCGTCAATGATAACAACTTCGAGATTTGGTACATATTCCTTAAATGTGGATCCGAGGACATAATCCCTTGTCCTATAAGCTTCAAAGCCAAAGTCTTTATTGCCCACTATAAACTTTGTGGGGACATTTATTTTGGCCCCTTGCAATGGCGCCATAAGCTCCCAATTCCTACAACAAGTTAGTATGATCCATCAGCCCAGATCTCTAGTGTGTGTACCACAGAAATACCAAGTGCATATGACCAGATGAATGCATGAGTGAACAAGAAAAATGGTTTAACATGATCCACAGAAGATTCATTCCATTAACCTTGAAAAAAAATATAAATGAATTGTCATAGATGAATAACTATGCTTCCAACATTATGCCTTTTAAACCAGAGTCTCCATATTTCCATCAATAAGGTGAAGGAAATAAAATACCTTTCATCATCATTTTGAATTAATAACCAAAATACATTAAAAGGATATAACAATAATAAAATAGATATTTCTCAAATAACCATATCATCAGTTTGAATTGAGAATTTTACTTTGAAAAATGTGAGAATGAAGTTTAACTAGTTCGCTTTTCCATAGATCCATCTTTGAAACTACACCTTCTCAGAAGGTACCTTGTGTACATGTGAGGCGCCTAGAAGGTTAACTTCAAGATTCAATAGGGAAACAAGACACTCCTTTCCATCGGGGCAAATATTCATGATCTGTAACTTGATAATGTACGGTGAATACAGTAAGCTAGAAAAGCAGTGAAAATCGATCAAATATTTTGTCCAACTGCCATCACATTTGGGGTACTAATGAATATTTTTCTATCCAGCTATTCAAATAAAATACCTAAGCATAGATGGACCATCAGTAAATTGAGTATTTAAAACAAAATGAAATTGGAAAGTAATGATCAACATACAATTCCCTTTCTCTTTTAGTAAATTTATGAAGTAATAGCTTGAGTATCAAACATACAGGTCCAGTGCTCGATAATAGTTCAGCGGGCCCGTGAATCCTGATTTCTGGAATTTGGAGGCGTAATATTGGAGCTCTTCTTCAGTAATCCATGATGGTAATGACGATGGAGCTTCCAAAATATCAATGATCTCCTTCCCAAGAGGAGCTGCCAATAGGTCTGAGGTGTTTGACAGTAAAATCTTCTTGATTACTGTCAAAGTATCATATCGGGCGAAGGCCATTTCAGCTTTTCCAGGCTCCTACAAATACAATTTTGATTGGAATATATGAAGTAGGTTATAAAAGTTGGATATTTTAACTCATCAAATATATATCGAATGCATTCAGAAAATGAATGGATACGACCAAAGAGAAAAGTCAGCATGGGATTTGTTTTTCAATAACTATATCATCAGAGGATACAAACAAGAATAGTATCATGGAAATATACCAAAATAAGTAAAATATGTGAACCCATCTTATTAAATTTGAAAATTCTGACTATGAACCTGTATTAACAATTCTGGTAAATTTGAAATTTGGATGTTTGGCTGACAATCAGATATTCATTTTTCTTTCTTACTAAAAATATAAATCCAATGGTAGAGAGAGAGAGCGTTAAAGAAAAGGAAATTGTGTGCTTGTGACAGGCTCTTAAGTCTTCTATATATCTATATTCACTCCTTTCCTCGGTTAAAACCAAACTTAGGAGTCTTATAGAAGCCCAAGATTTGGAGATGCAATCTCGTCACCCTTGCAATGAACTTAGAAAAAATGAAATATAAAAAAGGGACATAGTTTTCATGTTTCCTATTGACTCGTATTCATGATTCCTATGGCTCATATGTAGATATGCAGCCCTTCTTCATGATCTATTTTTGAGATGATTTGAGCTTTTATTGTTCAGCTCCTGTGAGAAGGGATTTGAACTTAGGACGTATTGTTATGATAGTCCATGCCGTAAGCAGTCGAGCCCAAGCCCTCCTCAATTAGGTCTGTAAATTGGGCAGGGGGGCCTGAATTCGGTCTGAGTTCAAGTTTGACTTCAGGACCCGGAGGGTCAGGCCCTTGCCCAGAAGCACGGATGTGCGAGTCACGTGGTATTGGATTAGGGTCTAGCCATAGCCTAATCAGTGGCGTACATGTATATGTATATACATTCATGCACACATGTATATACATACATTTTATATCACAAATATTAAAATGTTAAATAATAAATATACTTTTTAAGCTAAAAGATTTTATACTCTCACGGCAGTATATTGTCCACTTATTCCCTTCAGTAGAACCAACATACCCAATATAGCAGTAATTTTAGGAACCCAAATTTTGAAGATATAACCTTTTAAACCTATAGACTAACCTCAATAAAAAAAAATCCAAATTGAGCACTCTATCAGCTAGAGAAAAATAATTTCTCGGCCCAACTTTTGAAGGGCAGATATCTAAGAGTAAAAGAATCTCAAAATTCAAATTTTTTCTTTTGAAAATAATCAATCTCAATTCTGATGTGGTACCTCAAATTTCAAACAGAGAAAAATCCTCTCAATAAGTCTTTTTAATGGGGGAGTAAATATGCTTCTTCTTTTTTTAACAGGGGGAGTAAATATGCTTCTTCTTTTTTTAACAGGGGAGAAAAGATAATGATAATTTCAATTGAGGGCATAACCCTTTGATGCGGTCAATAAGGCTGGAATGATAACGATGTATATTTTGACCCGGACCCGTCCGGGTCGTGTCCAAGTTCGATCGACCTAAACCCGACTCTGTCTCCAGGGGTCTAAGCCGGACTTGGACTTGTCAGGTCGGGGCAAGGTCCGGACCTGACCTGAGCCATTTATGCCTTCATCCTCAACCGGTAAGAATCATAAACAAATGATCCATAATTTTTTATTTTGTTCATGAAACAAAGGATTCCATTAGTAAACTCCCAATTCAATGTTTGCAACATTACGTACAGAATACATAGCACCGGAACCAAGCAAAAGAACTGTAACCTAACCTGGAACTGGGTGACGTAGAAGCCATCACCAAAGGCTCGAGTCCACGACTCGACTGGTTTGTGAAGTGGAGAGCGAGGGTGATAGGGGACGCTAAGATTGACGAGAGCCCTCACCCTGTCGGGCCGGAAGAGGCAGAGGTGCCAAGCTATGATGGCACCCCAGTCATGCCCAACCACAAAAACCTGAAAAAATATCCCTAATTGTTGTTATTCTCAAAATCATTCTCCTTATAAATATGATCTCTCTCTCTCTAGCACAGAAGTTAATTCCTACTAAAAAAGAAAACTAACTAATGATTTTTTTCCAAACCATGGTGAATTTCTCTCTCCTCTCTCTCTAAAGCGGAATGGAGATAGAAACCACACCTGATCCTGTCCTAGGGCATCGAGAAGGCCGATAAGGTCCCCAACAATGTGGAACACAGTGTAAGAGGTATGAGGCAGAGCTGGGGCTTCGGTGTCGCCATAGCCTCGAAGGTCAGGAGCCACCGCTCTGTACCCATGCCTCGCCATGAAATCCATCTGGTGCCGCCATGAAAACCAGAGCTCAGGAAACCCATGAATAAACAGAACCAGTGGCCCGCTCCCTTGCTCCGCAACGTGCATATCCATCCCATTCGTTTTAACACTCCTGTGCACCACCTCCATCTCCACCTAATTCTCTCTCCTCTCTCTCTCTCTCTCTCTCTCTCTCTCTCTCTCTCTCTCTCTCTCTCTCTCTCTCTCTCTCTCTTCTTTCTCTCTCTACTCTCTGTATCTCCCGTTTGCAGCTTGCAGAGTTGCAAGTAGTTTACTTGATTGTTGAGCAGTATCGGGTGTCATTATTGCACGTCCGTTTAAGACCTCGTAGAGCTACTCTTTCATCTCCCACGTGATAACATTTCATAAAAATGGATAATATCATTTAAGCTCCGAACACTATGGGTGTAATGACCGGGACCCGACCCATAGCCGGGGGTTATAGCCGACGTGGATCCGGGTATGTGTCCAAGTTCTCCCACGTGATAACATTTAAGTTCCGAACGCTAGGGGTGGCAAGACCGCGACCCGAACCATACCCGGGGGTTATACCCGACACGGGTCCGAATATGAGTCCAAGTTTTGGACCTATGAGTAGTGTCCGGGTCCAATAAACGATACCCAGATAGTCTTTGGTCTGGGTACGGGTCCTGCAATATAGGACTAGACTTGGTGACGGTGGCAATAGATCTAAAGGCCAAAGCCCCAACCCTAAATCGTTTCAATACTTTTCGTTTTCCTCTAGTTCCTCAAACGGCCAAATGCCATCACCATCCTCCCTCTCTCAATTTGTTGGAGACATAGCTATCTCTCTCTTTGGATCTCGAATGTCTATCTCTCTAATTGCCTATTACTCAAAAATTAGTTATCAATTTCACAATTGTAGGCTACAAAAAAGAAGTTCATGGTGAATGTGGCAATGGACTTCTAATCGCCTATCCTTCAAAAATTAGTTGTCTGTTTCACAATTGTAGGATACAAAAAAGACCAGACCCGAGACCCAACGGGTACGGGTATGGGTTCAACTTTTGGACCCAACGCATCGAATCCGAGTCTGGATCCAACCGGATCTGACCCATACTCAACCCATTGCCACCCCTACCCAACACTGCCTGGAAATTATAATTACAACGGTTCAAAAGCTCTTATTAATGGATTTACTTTTAAATTTTCATTCCTTAACAAGTAGGGAGCATTTTAGTACTTTTATCTCCCTTGAACAATCACGGTACTCCTAGGATAGGAGTGGCAAAGGGGCGGTCCGCCCCGCCTTAAAAAAACTAAGGCCTGGGGCATTATAAGTCAGGCCGAATCGGGGCAGCCCAACCTTGTTTTCTTTATGCTTACTATTATTATTATATTTGGCTAGGACCGATGTGCGCAACCTTAATAGGCCTAAGGTTAGCGCCGCTTTAGCTTGTGTGGACCGGGCCAGCTTAGGGCCAGTGTTGGTACAGCTCAGCATGGGCCCGCCCCTTCCTCCCATCGTTTTGTTGGTACCTCTTTGTTTTGGATTGGTTAAATTACTAAAAGGACCTCACTTGTTCACATTCCAACCCTGAATTGCGCTTTAGGTATTTCGAATAATATATTGTGAGGAGGTATACAAGTGAAATAAAAATTAAAATTTATATTTTTACCCCCTTAATAATAATTTCTTTAAGGCTTATGACCTTTAAATTATATTTTCCTTTTCATTAGAAAGAAATTGTAGGCTTATTTTAAAGTCAATATGCATGGGTCTATTCCAAATGAAAATAATTAAGGGCATTTATACCATTGTAATTTCACAAAACAAAAAGCAACATGCAGGTGTGGAGCAAGCTAGGTGTTCAACAAGGTTTATCCACACGTTTACAAACCCAATTTCCGCTTCTTCTTCTTTTTTTCGACATGTTCACAGTGGAAATGGAAGGTGGGTCGTAATGTTGAAGCATTGGTAATTACTGAGTTGTAACCACCAATGCCTTATCCCCATTCTTTTGTTTATTTCGATGATTTCCTCGCACAATTCCATTCGTTTTTTTTTTTTGTTTTTTTGTTTTAATAGTAATGTTGAAGCATTGGTGATTACTGAGTTGTAACCACCAATGCCTTATCCCCATTCCCTTGTTTATTTCGATGATTTCCTCGCACAATTCCATTCGTTTTTTATTTTTGTTTTTTTGTTTTAATATGGTTTCCCTACATAATTACATTCGGTTTCCTTTGATGCTTTTACCACATAATTCCATTCCATTGCCTCTGATGCTTTCCCCAAATGATTCCCTTCGTTGTTTTGTTTTGTATTTTTGTTTTTTTTGTTTTTTTTTGTTTTTTTTTTATTTTAATATTAAGTATACTTCATCAATGTAGTATTTTCTAGTACATTGAGTGTGAGGTACAAATAATAAATTATACTCTTACAAGATGCAAACAAGACTCAAAAAACAAACAAAGTCCCCAATCCACCTCATGAGAACTGGATTAACAAAGCACATCCAAGGCCACAAAATAGTTTTATTTTTTATTTTTTATTTTATTTATAAATCATGTTTATCCAAAATTTAGTGAGTAATTGCAATTTTATATGAAGTGCCATATAAAAGTAGTAAAATATATATTGAGTTGACCCAAATACCCCTAAAACATTTAGGGGTACTTTAGTCAATTTTTTACCCAAAATATTTTTATTATTTGTATGCAATATAAAAATATATCTACTCACTAAATTCTCAAAAAATATAATTATTAAAAATATATATATATATATATATATTTTGCAACCATTAGATGATACTAGTCACAAGAATGGACACCAACCTTAAAAAATGTATGGCCAGTATTGGACAAAGTCCGAGCCTCTTCTTGTCCTCTCAATTAGTGATTTTGGTTCAATGGAGTCCAGCTCCGTAAGTCCCCTGACTTAGCCAAAAAATCAGCATCATTGTTCCTCTCTCTTTTAACATGTTGGAAAATGACCTCCTTGTGTTAAATGCAGTATTGAATCTTGTCCATCACCTGTCTCCACCTCCATTGCACCATTTGCGGAGGTTGTTGCATCATAATCAATTACCCACCGTTTTTATTGATCCATCAAATTTTGTTTTGCGACATCTAGAATCGGGTGAGGTTTGCTTGTCCCAAATGATCAAAGTACGGTGGACCTTCCACTAGTGACTAATGTCATTTCAATATTGAAAATTTCTACGATGGATTGAATTTATTTTAATATCTAATCATAAACTTTAAAGCTTAAAAAATAGTGTAGATAAATCAAAACTGATATGTAAACATTTGAAAATATTAAAAATTGACGGTCTCGATAATGCATTACAAGGTGCACTATTTGTTCAAAAATAGTGTAGATAAATCAAAGCTGGTATGTGAACATTTGAAAATATTAAAAATTGATGGTATCGATAATGCATTACAAGGTGTACTATTTGTTGGAAATGTGCACTATTTGTTGGAAATGTGGCCTATTAGACCATTTTCTTCTGAAAATTCATTTTTCAATAATGGTACAAAAGTCATATTGAAGGATATATAAAATCTCATGTGGTTAACACGAGGCAATACTATATACTTGGATCCATTTTTAAGCTTTAATAGGATGTTGTTATGGATGGAAAACCCATTCTCACTGGAGGGAAACCCAGTAGTGTGTTTGGATTCTTTGTAAACATTTGTTGTTATTTTATAGAAATACAAAGTTTATTTAATTTTTAAAAAAAATTATAAAAAAAACCCTAAGACCACACTTTTTATGCAACTTACCCTCAATGTAACTTTTTCTCTCACTTTTTTCCCTAAAACAAACTTTCTATGAAAATATTCCCAAGAAAAAAAATTGATTTTTTTAGACATAAATGCCCTTTTTATACACAAAAATCATTTTGATCATATTTGATGTTGACTTTTAGACCCAGTAGCACATTGCCGGAGAGCATGATCGCATTGTCGGACCGCCCTTTACATAAACTTAAGTGGCGGACCGCCCTAAGATAATTATTAGACCGAAACTGAGTACTGCCGAACTGCCCTTTATATAGTATCGGAGCCCTGGAATGTAATAACATCTACTGCCAGACCGCACTTACACAGTGCCGAAACCCTATTTTGGTAGGATAGAGGAGAACTACACTTACACAGTGCCGAAAGCCCTATTTTGGTGGGATAGAGGAAAGAGAGGCGTGGGTAAGGTAAACGTAAGGGACGATAGTTTAGGCATTTTTTTATTTTTATTTTGGTTGGAGGTATTTGTATAGAAAGTGTATCTTGAGGAAAAAGTGAAAGCAAAAGTTAAGTTGGGTGTAAGTTGCATAGAAAGTGTAGTTTTAGGGTTTTTTTTATAATTTTTACTAATTTATAAATGTCTCTTATCAAATTGTGTGAATGCTTGGATGACATTGTAAATGAGTCATCGGTGGACTAATAACAAGTTTAGCTCCTTACATGGGATTAACATTTTGGTGACAACTTATTAATCCTAATTAGCTGCACTTAAGGGAATTAAGGCAGAAATTAGACTTGAATCTCAACTCCTATAGACCATGAATGTGAGAGTTAAAAAATAAATGTGTTCTCTATAAAAGGAGGTTAACCCCTCTAGAAAATACAGAGAAAATGATAGAAAAAGATATATGGAAGGTGAATGAGATTCACTAAAGATGACACTCAAAGTTGCCTGTCACCCGATAACTTGGTCTATAGGATTTGATATGGAACCTCAAGTTCTTCGTGTGATTTAAGGACAGATCCGAGTAAGTTGTTTATCAATTTTATTTATTTATTTATTTTATTGAGACTAACACTATTTCCATGACTCAAAGTTTTAGTTTTTTTTACATCCATGTATCTCAAAGTTGAGCTGATCAGATTTGAAAGTTTTTAGGCATAAAAACAACTTTTTCTGGTGAATTTTTAAGGTGGGCCTTAGTTAGGGCCTCAACCTTATATAAACCTTTTCCTTCATGATCATTGTTATAATAGCCACTTTGACATTGGGCCCAAAATATATTATGGACCTAAGAGTAGCACCTTGTTTGGCCATCTATCTGGTTCCTCATTACATTTCCTGCAGCTATGTACAAAAGCAATATTCAATTAGCATTTTTATCTTGGATTCCAAACTGCAAAATTATTAGATTCAATGGGACTTTTGGTTTATTTTTGCACCAATTAATTGTAGTCAAGGAGTCACCTTAAGCAATTATCATCATGCCAATTTTTTGTCTGTATAATTTTCAAGCCTTGTAAAACCTGATCTGATTTCTGATTATTTCATCGTGGCTGTTCCACATGGACTTGAGGAAGTTACTAGGGTTCAAC